CTTATATTTGATAAAGGGGCTAAAAGCATGCAATGGAGGAAGGATAGCATCTTCAACAAATGGTGCTGGGAAAACTGGAAATCCATATGCAACAAAATGAAACTGAATCCCTTTCTCTCGCCATGCACAAAAGTTAACTCAAAATGGATCAAGGAGCTTGATATCAAATCAGAGACACTGCGTCTGATAGAAGAAAAAGTTGGCTACGATCTACATACTGTGGGGTCGGGCTCCAAATTCCTCAATAGGACACCCATAGCACAAGAGTTAATAACTAGAATCAACAAATGGGACTTACTCAAACTAAAAAGTTTTTTCTCAGCAAGAGAAACAATAAGAGAGGTAAATAGGGAGCCTACATCCTGGGAACAAATTTTTACTCCTCACACTTCAGATAGAGCCCTAATATCCAGAGTATACAAAGAACTCAAAAAATTAAACAATAAGATAACAAATAACGCAATCAACAAATGGGCCAAGGACCTGAACAGACACTTCTCAGAGGAGGACATACAATTAATCAACAAGTACATGAAAAAATGCTCACCATCTCTAGCAGTCAGAGAAATGCAAATCAAAACCACCCTAAGATACCATCTCACTCCAGTAAGATTGGCAGCCATTATGAAGTCAAACAACAACAAGTGCTGGCGAGGATGTGGGGAAAAGGGTACACTTGTACATTGCTGGTGGGACTGCAAATTGGTGCAGCCAATTTGGAAAGCAGTATGGAGATTCCTGGGAAAGCTGGGAATGGAACCACCATTTGACCCAGCTATTCCCCTTCTCGGTCTATTCCCTAAAGACCTAAAAAGAGCATGCTACAGGGACACTGCTACATCGATGTTCATAGCAGCACAATTCACAATAGCTATACAGTGGAACCAACCTAGATGCCCTTCAATAGATGAATGGTTAAAAAAAATGTGGCATTTATACACAATGGAGTATTACTCTGCATTAAAAAATTACAAAATCATGGAATTTGCAGGGAAATGGATGGCACTAGAGCAGATTATGCTAAGTGAAGCTAGCCAATCCCTAAAAAACAAATGCCAAATGTCTTCTTTGATATAAGGAGAGCAACTAAGAACAGAGTAGGGACGAAGAGCATGAGAAGAAGATTAACATTAAACAGGGATGAGAGGTGGGAGGGAAAGGGAGAGAGAAGGGTAATTGCATGGAAATGGAAGGAGACCTTCATTGTTATACAAAATTACATACAAGAGGAAGAGAGGGGAAAGGGAAAAAAAAAAAAAAACAAGGGGGAGAAATGAATTACAGTAGATGGGGTAGAGAGAGAAGATGCAAGGGGAGGGGAGTGGAGGGGGGATAGTAGAGGATAGGAAAGGCAGCAGAATACAACAGACACTAGTATGGCAATATGTAAAACAGTGGATGTGTAACTGATGTGATTCTGCAATCTGTATATGGGGTAAAAATGGGAGTTCATAACCCACTTGAATCAAATGTGTGAAATATGATATGTCAAGAACTATGTAATGTTTTGAACAACCAACAATAAAAATTAAAAAAAAAGAAATCACCCCCAAAACTCAATGGTTTACAGCTTATATTTAAAAATAATTTAATAAAATGAAATGGCTTACATCTTACAGCTAGAGATAATTATTATATCTCAGTAGTTTTCTATGGGTCAAGAATTTGGAAACCACTTGGCTATAGGTTTCTTGTGTTTTTTTTTTTTTTTCTGCAAGTGATATACCCCTTCCAGTATAATGTATTTTCAGCAGTACTATACATTTTAATCTAATGTTAAGTAATATTTTTTTGTTCAAGTTTTCTTTAGTTTTTTGCTCCAGGAGAATCTCTCCATTTTCAGGCAAGTAGACATGTTTGTTTGTTTGTTTTCTACCTCCCATAACAGCCCAAGGTGAATTACAGAGCAATTGATGGTTCACTAAATACAGCTTTTATTATAAATTCGTTATTTTTCTTATTTTGTTTGTTTTAGTAAAATTTGTTTCATGTTTGCAATAAGTGATTTGTCATCTCCTGTTTTCCAGTGTTAGAAGCTTGCTTCCTTTCATTCCTTCCTTCCTTCCTTCCTTCCTTCCTTTCTTTCTTGCTTGCTTTGTATTTGGTTTAGATATTAGAATAAGTTGGGAAATTGCTAGTCAATTAATTTGAATTGTTAAGATATTATGTTCTGTTTTTGGAGAGCATATATTGTTTGTTGGAAGCTTAGGTTTTTTTGTTTGTTTGTTTTTTGTTTTATTAAACCACCCCTTCATACAGTCGCCCCTTGGTTTCTGCAGGGATTTGGTTCAGAGACTCCTATAGAAGCTACCAAAATCTGCAGATGCTCAATATCCTTCTATAAAACATCATAATAGTTGCATATGATCTGCATATATCATCCCTTACAGGTTACATATAATCACTAATAAAATATTAATGTCATGTATATAGTTGGTATAGTGTATTGTTTAAGGAACAATGGCATGAAAAAGAAGTCACCACATGTTCAGTACAGATTCATTTTTTCAAGTGTGTGTGTGTGTGTGTGTGTGTGTGTAGATATTTTTTAATTGGCTGTTGGATATAGAGCACAGGGATATGGAGAGTTCACTATTCTCTTGGCTTGATTCCTCATTTAATTTTAGTCTCTGTTCAAACATCAGATCCTCAAGGAACTTGTATTAATTAGGAGAGAATTATTTGACCACCATTGTATATGGGTGTTCCTGTGTTATTGTTTCCTTTATTCCCTGTATTTTGCCTCTTAATAGAATCATCATCATCATCATCTGTTTATTTCAGTGTGTTATACAAAATTTGCTATATTCTAAGGATGCTAATAGGTTCCGAACCAAAGTAATAATGACTTAAACAAGACAGTGATATTTCTGTTTCAGTCCACAAGTAGACAATTGGAGTTGGTATGGAAGCTGTCTACCAACACAAATCTTCTAAGAACCAGGATTCTGCTGTTCTGTTGTTCCATTCTCCTAGTCAGCCTACCACCATAACGTATTCAGAGGAAAAAATGAAGTTGAAAGGAATGGGGAGAGTATTGGGGAAAGAGGATCACCCCCCAATAAGCATATGACCTAGAGTTTATTTACACACATCATTACTGTCCACACCCAGTTAATCAAAATTTTTTATTGTAGCTATTATAGTAGCTTCATGGGATACTGAGAATTTCAGTCTTTAGTATGGACAGTTGGGTTATCTGTTACTACAAGGAACAATGGTAGGATGGATGTGGGGATGAAAAATTAGCAGTTTTATTGGTTGGTACTTTTTTCTAACCACTGTGAATAAAATAGCATACTCTCATCTCTCCAGCCCCTTACTCTTTACAGTAAATTTTGCTGTAATAATACTTTGATTTAGCAATAATTGTGTCTCCTTATTAAATCATAAAAGTTAAATCACTGTTTCAAATCATCTTGGAAATAGAAATAACCCAGAGTTCCTAGGACCTAGATAGGCTTCAAGGGCTCGGAGTCTTATGCAGTTATAAGTGAAATTACTTGTGAATATGCATTGATATAGCTTGGTAATAGACACTAGTATGGCAATATGAAAATCAATGGATGTGTAACTGATGTGATTCTGCAATCTGTGTATGGGGTGAAGGTGGGAGTTCATAACCCACTTGAATCAAAGTGTGGAATATGATATGTCAAGAAATTTGTAATGTTTTGAACAACCAACAATAAAAAATTAAAAAAAAAAAAAAGCATGGGTCTCAGAGTCAGACTTCCAGATTTAAATTTTAGGTCTGTCTGTCCAGTGCTAGATGTGTAAATTAGGCAGTTTTCTTAACTTGCTTGTGCTGAGTTTCCCTATCTGAAACATGAAAATAATTGTGTCCCTAATTTATAGAATTGCTTCAGGGACTATAGAAGTTAATACATTTAAAGTATTTATAAGAGTGTCTCACAATATTAAGTTCTATATAAATAGTAGTGTGCTTAATATTTATATTCTGGGGGGTGTCCAATTTTCAAATGATTAACAGTAGAGGCTATTATGAATTCTAATTTAATACCTGAAAAAAACTGCTTTCACAGATATCTGAACTGCATGAAATTTAAACTTTGGGAATGGGGATGTAGTTCAGAGGTAGAACACTTGGGTAGCATGTACAGGGCCCTGAGTTCAATCCCCAGCCCATAATATAAATGAATGAAATGACTTTAAACTTTCTTTTAATCAAAACTCATTTGATCTTTCATAGTGAAGAAGTTTATTTAGTGAACTCTACCTCAACTACACTTTCTTTTAAAGAGTTTCCTTGTTTTCAAATTTAGTTCTATTTTATTTTTTAACCTAATAGTAATTTATATTTATGTTTGTCCCAATTTTCTTTTAATTGTCATAGTTTTTATGAAATTCAAATCTATTTTCCAGGCTTTAAGAAATTGGTCGCTTTAAGATATTGGTCTTTTTTTTTTTTTTTTCCTTTTTAAAGATCCTGGGGAACTGATAGTTCTAAATGAGGGATTTGAACATGAGCAAGTTGAATGTGTAATAATTCCGAATTGGGGTGTTCAATATGTGATTAAGCAAGAACATGTGCTTTTCTGCAAAGTGATCATAGTAGCAAAAAAAAAATCATGCTTCAGTATTTTTAGGAATGAATTCATATTATCCTAAATAAATTGACAAATGTCAAAATCAGATTACAATAAATGTCCAGTATGTCATGAGTAATCTCCAACAGTTACACCAAATTTGCATTTTAAATTCTTGCACTAAATCTTACAGAAATATTTTTGTCAAATTGGTTGGTATTGGACCTGGAGCTTAAACACAAAGCAGCTGTTTTTGAGCAAATACCATTTTCATAACATTAATGTGCTTCCAGTTAACAAACTGGAATGAACTGCTAAACATCACCACTTCCATGTTTAACTGCTATTTGACTTTCTCAGTGAATGATTTGCTTTCTTAATAGATTTATTTACTTTAACTAAAAGAGGAAGAATATTATGTAAGTATCCATATTTTTCCCCCATCTGCAGAATGTATTCAAGAAAAGTGGGGATTTCCAATGTGCCATTATTTAAAGGAAGAGAGGTGGTGCTGTGGTCGTAATGCCAGAATGTCAGCCTGTTTGGTATGTTTGTGTTTTTTTCCTAGAATAAGAAGTTTACCCATATGCTGTAAAATTTATTATTTTTAGCTAATATCATGAATTAAATTCTGAAGTTTCTAGACCATCATCATTAATGCTTTTATATATTATAAATTATGAGAAAATTATTTGTTCTTCATGGATTGTCATAACATGTTTACATATAATTATTATGTGAAATGTACCAAATACCAAGTCTTAAACACAGAAACAATTCAGTACTTTATGCTTAGCCATTTAGTGTCTTCATGTTTGTTTACAAAAGTCTTTTGGTCTTCTAAATTTTTATGGAATGGGAAAAATATTACTGTACCTGGGACATGAAATAACTATGTAGTTAAACAAAAACTATTTTGCTTGACTAGACTAGCATACTTAGATATAGAATACTATAACACATGTGGTCTTTCTTCAGGATGCAATGTTGTTTTATACAGGAACCATTTAAATGGTGTAAGTGGATATTTTTTGTCATCAGAAATTTAAAATATCACAGTTATATGGGATGACTAAATCTAGAGATCTAAATAACATGAGGACTATAATATTAATATTATTGTATTATATACAGAAAATTTCTTAAGTAAGGTTTTTCTAAGAGTAAGGTTTCAATGGTAACTGAGTTGGGTATGTTATATTACTTTTCTGCAATAATCATTTCAATATATATGTGTGTTTATCAGAACATTATATCGCATACCTTAAATTTATACAATAAATTTTTACATTAAGTATAGTTGATTAGATAATCTGTTTTAGTGACTAGCCATAGGATAATTCTTTTAAGGCCCATTGTCTCTATGATGGTTACTTAGCAACATAAGAAATAATATACCAATCTTCTAGGTTATATATCCTAGAATTATCTTAGAATTCTATTTACATTCTAATAATTATTTTCCTATGTAACCCTACCAGAAGTACTTTTCTGGAAAATTATCTTATTTCTTTATTTTAGGTTTAAATGATACTTGTTCAGAATCTTAGATATTAGATAACAGGTCATCTTGGAATGACATAGTTCCTAGAATGCTGACAGCCAGGCTTATTTATACTCTACAGGAAAATACTGAAATAGGCTTTTTTAGGAAGTATGACTATCTTAAGACCAAATACTTGAAGATACTGGCATCAGGTATTTTACAGTGAAACAGTATAAATCTAGTCATTTATGGAGAGGCCCACAATCTAGTCCTCACATGTAAGCACAATGTATTAATCAGGTTTATGGTATCCCCATTATAATGAACAAAATAAACCATCAAAAATCACTAGATGTCTTAAGGAAAGTCCCACATTGGAAAACAGACATCAAGGGCTGTAGCTGTAGCTCAGTGCAGAGCTGTTGCCTAGCATGTGTAAAGTACTGCATTCAATCCTCAGCACCACATAAAAAATAATCAAATCAAATAAAGGCATGCTGTCCATCTACAACTACAAAGAACAGGAATAATTTTATAGAAATAAACATTCAAAGAACTAAAGAAAGAAATTTTAAAGAATAAATCCCATACATATAGAATTTGCAGACCATGATGCTCTTAAGTTCTCCTGACCACAGGAGAACTTTTTGACAGAATTCAATTCCATTACAACCCTTGCTCACCTTGACTACTGCTTTTTTTTTTTTTTAATTCCATAGTAATTTGGGAAAGTTTAAGGAATGTTTCTTTGAGTACATGTTTCCTATATAAATGACCTTTTCAAAAAATATTCAAATATTTAAGGGTTATTAAAAAGGTGCCTTTGTAGGAACATTTATAAATAAAGTTCCTAGCCAGAAATAGAATTTTAATTCAATTAGAACAACCTCGTCATCATTTATTAAGCCTAGTAAAACTGCAAAAATATTTTAGATTAGTATGAAAGGAACACTTGGTATATTTTCTTTATTACTTCTGCTGATTGCCCAAGAACAATATTAATGTTTACTAGAAACTTCTTATTACCTATCTGATTATCTTCTAATTATGTAGCCAAAATTTATCATTTGTATTTATAAAATAAGCTCATCAGTACCAAGTTGTTCTCCATTGTATTTTTTTTAAAGAGAGAGAGAGAGAATTTTTTAATATTTATTTTTCAGTTCTCGGAGGACACAACATCTTTGTTTGCATGTGGTGCTGATCGAACCCGGGCCGCACGCATGCCAGGCGAGTGCGCTACCGCTTGAGCCACATCCTCAGCCCTCTCCATTGTATTTTAATTTTATTGACACTAAATAGTTTCTTTTTGAAAATTCTTCTGTTTCTTTGGCCTTTAGAAAATTCCATAACAAAGATTTAATCTTAAAATTACCACAACTAGTGCCATAAATGAAAACTCATTGTATCTTCAGTAATAAATCTATTCTGAGTCAGTTGCTGTTTAACTTCTTGGGAAAATTATCTAATAAAAATCTGCTGTCTTCATAACTTTCTGTTTGGCTCTAAATATTCAATGAGGGTGTCCTTCATGTGAGTTTCAAGTATTGAATTATGAGTATTTATTAGAAATGTGAGGAACATTTTGTAAAATTGCTTTAGATCAACTATAAATATAATCCAATATGTATAAAATTGTAAAAATATGTTACAGTACTTTCTCTTCTGACTCTTGATTATATGTATATATGCAGACTAAAAATAAAAATACTTTTCTAAAATAAGCTATCCACTATAATGTGTTCATTTTTGTTTTCTAAAAGATAAAATTATACAATCATTAAAAATTATGAGGGCTGGGGTTGTGGCTCACTGGTAGAGCACTTGCTTAGCATGTGTGAGGCACTGGGCTCAATTCTCAGTACCACATATAAATGAATAAAGTCCATTGACAAATAAGAAAATATTTTTTAAAAATTATAAGAAATATGTTAAAATATGTAAATATGTCTGTGTTTCTCTATATATACATACTACCAGCTTTGGATTTAGTTGATTGTTAATTACACTAAACATGAGTCAAGACCACTTTGTTTCATTTTTTTTCTATTTTCTAGTTCCTTCTGAAATTCAAGATGTATAATTGGAGCATATATGTGTTTATGTATATGACACATACCCATTATAAATTAATTAGTATTAAATTATATAAGTATACTAGTTAACATTTTTAATATTAACGATTTTAATTGTGTTGACTTACATTTTTATCACTGAATTCATCTTTCCAAATATCACTTTTACAAAACCTTATACAGTGTGTTTATAACTTTATAAATCTTATGCTTTTATAAATCTTATAAAGTAAGACTAAATATATCAAAAGTCTTTGTGTTGTTTTTTTTTTCCTTAAAGGCATTGGAGCGGGTTGCACTTGGCCAAGGGGTAAGTGAGAATGTTTACTTAAATTCAACTTATGAACACTGTAGTTTTTCTCTTGAGCTCTCTTCATACTTGACCTGCTGATGAACTTAAAACTGGATGGATTTTCATAAATATCACCTCCTGGTATTACCACAGAGTATTCAAATCTATGCATTTCTATACATTTGCTTTACATGTGAACTTTCAAAAACTAAATTGAACTTTTAGGAAGATTGCCCCATTGTTCTCTATACTAACCTCTGATTTCTTCATATTAAATTATATGGCCTATAAATATTTCTGGAGACATAATGTTGCCAACTGACCAGGTATTTATAGCCTTAGTTCAAGCAAAGATAAACAAGGTATAACATTCAGTGTATACTTTATCTGTAATCCAAAACAAAGATATCATTTGGTTGATAACTTTTTTTCATTCACTCAGTCATTATTAGTTGCAACAGCCAAATGGTTTTGCAGGTATAAACAAAAGTTTACTCTCTCACTCAAATATTCACATGATTGCATTGTTCTACCTTGTATTCATGAAACATATTAGGACTATTTTAAGAGTTTCTTTTAAGCTTATCACAAAATTATTTTTATTGGGCCTAATTTTAGAAATCTCTTTTTTGCTTGTTTTCAATAAACATTAATAATGTCAATTTATACTTTTTAAATTAATAATAGTGTTAAAAATAATAATAGCAATAACAAGTGTCATTTATAATATGCTCACCCTAGGCAAAGAACATTGACAAATATTGTGTATGTTGTTGCAATTGTTGTTTTTTAATATATTAATGTGCCTATCTAAAATGTGATAAAAACTGGTCTTTGTGAAGTCATCATTTTTTATCAAGTTTTAGAATTTATTAAGTGTGTGGGTTTTAGTCTTAGACTGCTGTTTTGCATCCAATCATCATCACTAACTGGTTTAATGACCTTGGACACATCATAATTTCTTTATCTGTAAAATAGGAGAAGTGACACTAATACCAGTAATAGTTTGCTCATAATATTGTCATTTCAAGTAAATAATGAAGCATGTGAAAAGTGTAAAACAATGGCTAGTACATAGTAAGTGCAAAGTAAAAATGTCTACACTTGTTGTGATCAGTAATCATTTTAATCATGAAAATAACAGTTAAATCTAACATAGAGCTTACCAAAGTACTGCTCAAAGTTCTTCTCATCTATAGGTAATAAATACGTAGAATTATGAAATACATACTATTATTATCCCAGGATACACATGAAAAAACTGTAAAGTAGTTAATGCTGAGATTTGAATCAATCTCTCTCTCTGGATTTCATGCTCTTAACTACTGTACTACATATCACCTTAGTGGTTCCCTAGGGATTATCATCATAATGCTCCAATGGTGTGGTGTTTTTAATTTTCCAAGTGTTTGCTCATGCTTCCAGCCAATCGGATGAATTGGTTATTGTGCCAAACTTATATGCAGACTTGCTATATAGCAGCATTTTAATTGTGTTCTAGCATCCTTAATTAATTACAGAGCCCTAATTTCTAGCTCAGTGCCTTTTCCACTAGATCTGTAAAATGCATGTCTGATACATATGCTTTAAGGGTGTACACTTTTTGTTTCCTCCCATATTTAAAATGCATTAAAAATGTTAAGTACATTTATTTATCACTTGTGAGGGAAAGAACATAAACTCTGAACTACATGCAGCTTTTTTCTGGAATAGTCAGACTGTTTAGGAGATGTTGACTCCTTTCCCACTCACCCCACTCTGTATTTACCAGGATGGACAGTCCTAGTTATTCTAGGAATGTTCATTTGAAGGCACTACATAACTCTCTTCTTTTTCTCTTAGGAAACAGCTGTAAAGCCCTTTATATACTCAGGGTAACTTGGGAATGATGATTTTTCCTATCCTGTTTGCATTTCTCTGTGCATTCCATTTATGTCTGCTCTTTTGCTTAAAATACATGTCTTAATCTTTTGTTGCTGTCATTCTACACTTTGTTTTTCATAAAAATATGTACATTTTTTATAAATTATGTTGATATCATTTATATGATTTTTCTCAAAGGCATGATAAAGACATTTTAATCATTTTTAGGCATTTCATATAAAATTGAAGTTCTCGTGTATTATAGATAATCAAACATGAAGTTAAGAATTTTTTAAGCAGTTTATATACAAAGAATATTTTAGTTCATGCAATAGTATTTTTAGCAAAATACCTTGAATTTCAATTGAATATTTCCAGATTAAGTGTTAATGTATGAAAAGGGATTTCAGCATTTTTGTGAGAAAAGTGATGTTCAGAGAAATAAGGGATAGATCATAAAGTAAGACTTTGGAACTGTAACAGTATATTTCTCAAGATGAGAAAATGTCAAATGGAAAATATGTCTGGACTTAAGAAATCAAAATGAAATGTATGTCAGAGACTTCAAGGGAAGAAAAGTTTTTAAATTAGTGAAGTCTGAAACTTTGCCAGTTGTTGGACAGTTAGGACATAATTTGACTTAGTTGGACCTTATTTGACTTCACAGAAGCATTCATTATTGTTGACCTCTTTAGTTCATTTTCTCTTTCTTTTCTTTTTCCAATAGTAACTTTTCAGGAAATCTAGATTATTGCTGACATTGTTTTGTGTTAGATATTTCTGTACTATCAGTATCAAGAGATCTGTAGGGATATGGATGGGATTTTGGTGTCCTTTGTAATTTCTTAATTCAGGAGTACCATCTCTGTTTTGCACCAAAGTATTATTTCTCTAAGAAATACTACAGTACTTTTTTTTTTAACTTTCTCTGCCTTTGAAGCTATTAGGTTTTATTGAGGACTTCTTCAGCTTCTCCTTTGTTCTTTTCAAAATCCTCTGAATCCTGGTGGGACAGCGCCTATCTCTCATTACCCCAGAAGAGCTGTCTTGCCAAGAACTCAGTTTCTTTTGACCTTTCCAAGACTCTGCAGTAGCCGAAGTTATGATCTTACAGTCTTCAGACATATTTTTAATATTTCCTAACATAGGTAGTATCTTCTCAGTATGTGAATCCTAGTCCATAATATCTTAGGTCAAAGCCATTCTTTCTTCTTTTACACATATCCTTTCTGACTCCTATAGGCTTCAGAACTGATTGGCTTGTATTAAAAGTGTATTTGTACATTTGTATGTGATAAGAACTCCATTTGGGTTACTAGCTTATTTTTCATTGATTAAGACTTATCTTCGTCATTTACTACTATTTCTCTTATGGTTTCTTCTGTTTTCTTGCAGAATTCGTTTCATAGTGAGAAATCATCTTAGGATAGTACTGTGAGTTAGAATGGAGACATTACAATGTCTTCCTCTATGTTTAACAGCAAAGTCAAGTTTCTCACATTCACAATGGTCCCAGCTCTCTAATATTAATTTGATTTCTGGTTTTTGTCTGCCTTTTTTTCAGCTGCCTACTGAATCACTCTTCTATCGTGCTGTTCTTCAGGATATTATTAAAGATTGTTATGGCATCACAAAATGGTATGAGGATTTTATTTTAATAAGAATAACTCATAAGTGAATTTATTTTTAGTCTTCAAGTGAATTTTAAGGGTCAATTATTAGTAAAAAATAAAAGCTATGAATTTGAGCTAATGTAAGTAAAGAAGATGTAGTCACATTATCTTAGTTAACTCATTTTTAATGTGTGAATTCTAATAATTCTTTCTTTTCCTGAAAGGTTTTTGTAATGCTAAAGTGATATATTTAAAGTGTACTTTAGAACTTTTGAAGTATTAAAATATTATGTGTAAATAATTAATTGAATATTTGAGTAGGAGTTCTTTTTAGATGTTTCACAACCAGCACAGCATAACACTTAACTCACTTGAACAAATCTCAATCATAGGCAACCATTATAGCCATTCTAATCTCTATTGATACACTAGTAGCCCAGCGTTATATTTTGGGTGTGTGTGTGTGTGTGTGTGTGTCTGTTTTCTCCAAATAATTTACTGGATATATAGAAAGGCAAGTAGCTGAATTTTTTCATAATATTGGTTTAAAATTTTCTTTATTCAGGCATATATTTGTAATCTTGGCAAATTGCATGAATGTTGTTTTGCTAATTATAATTTTAGGATTGTGGTAGTCACTTGGTGCAAAGCAGGATTCTTCTTTAAATTCAAGTAGGGTGATTTTTAGGTACTCAAAAAAACAATCTATTTGGCAGATATTGAAGGGTTTAAATTAGCTATCTCTTGGCAAGAAAAAAACTCTTGATAGAAATTTGTATGTGCATATATCTACATAAACTATTGGTATCAACTATAATTTCTATGCAAATAACTTCCAAATCTTTATATTTGGGGTAGGGGTTGGGGATTGGTACTGGGAATTTAACCCCGGGGCAGTTTACCACTGAGCTACATCTCCAACTTTTTTGAGGCAGGATCTCACTAAATTGCTTAGGGCCTTGCTAAATTGCTGAGGCTGGCCTTGAGCTTGAAATCCTCTTGTCTCAGCCTCTGGAGCCACTGGTATTATAGTTATGGGCCACTCACTGTTCCTGGGCAAATCATCATCTTAATCTCTATTCCTTTTTCTATAAATTTACCAATCTTTGATGTATCTAAAAATGTGAATTGTTCATGTTCTCCTGAAAACCAGTTTTCTTTCTTGAGCCCACCCAAAGATGCCATCCTTGTTGAAAAAGTATTCCTAAAATTGTGCAAACTTGTGTCTACACAAATATTGATTCCCTGCCTTCTTTTACAACTTCAGATGTATTCATTGATTTGTTTAATGGTCTCTTGTTGACCTCTTAAATTTGTCTCCATTCTTTTCTCAGTCATTCTCTCAATTAAAAATCTGACTTTCTAACATGCCATAGTCCTGCCTTCCTTTACTACACAGAAAGTAAATGGTGTGTATTATAAGATTTATTTTATTCTAAAGCCTCATTTGTCTTTCAGCCTCATTTGACCATGTTGATAATTGTTTATTCTCTAAACTTTCTTGCTCACTATCTTCTGTAACATTGCATCCTATTAAGTTTCTTTTTCCTACCCTAAACATTCATCTTAAATGTCTGGAGGCATCTGCCAATTTATTAGTAGTCAGCTGTCTGCCAGTCAACAGACAAGACAGAGTGAGCCCAGCTTTCAACAGAATGACAGTTCTAGTGAGGCAGAAGTTAAAGTTTATGTTCTACCTGGATGAAGACTCAAGAGTAAGCCAAGTAAACCACTCATACATTGAGTTAGGTCTCAAAAGGGTCACACCATAAGAATTGTTAGATATACAACATTTCCAAGATGGACTAAAGCCCCACTTCAAATCATCTCAAGCTTCCATCATGGTGTTTCTGATTATTGCTTCCATTAGCTCTCTGCAAAAAGCATATTCTCTCTGGATAAAAATAATATAAATCTGGACCTCAAATTATCACAACAGTTTATTACCTACAGCATCTGGCAGTTAATCTAAACCATTCATGGTATGAAACAAGACAACATGGCCAGAATCTAAAGTAAACCATATAGTTAATAGAAATAGGCCTCTAGTAGATCCAAAGAAAAATAAATATAATGGAGAGACTTACACTCTGGGAAAATGAAAGGGATATACTTCTTGTCAGTTTTCTTGCTAAGTATAATTAAAACCCTGCACATTATATACAACAAACAGTAGAAGACTCTGAAAGATGGAGAGAGTAAGGAAGACTGGCTCTGGATTTCAGAACATGATAAATTTCTTGGGTTTTCTTTTTGATTATATAGTTCAGAATTGGAACTGGAAAAGCTAGCAATCCAGAAACACAAGTGGGCACTAACAAAACATCCTGAAGGAAGATTAAATGGGGCAATAGAAATGTTTGGAATTTTCCAATCTTAAGAAATAAAATAGGTCGATCCCCAGATTTAACAAGAACGTAAACCCTTTGGCAAAGGCAAAAAAAAAAAAAATAATAATAGAAGATGACGATGACAAAGAAGAAGAAATACAAGAACCACCAACTTCTAGACATATAATAGTAAGATTACTGAAAACAGGTCAGGCACAGTGATGCACACCTGTAATCCCAGCAATTTGGGAGGCTGAGGCAGAAGAATGGCAAGTCCAAGGGCAGCCACAGCAACTTAGCCAAGACCCTGTCTCAAAATTAAAAAATATAAAAGACTAGGGATATAGTTTAGTGGTGCTAAGCCTCAGTTCAATCCCTAGTACCAAAAATAAATAAAATGAAAGAAAAAAAGGATTGCCAAAAATGAAACCAAAGAGAAAATTCTTAAAGCAGTCAGAGATGGTAGAAAGGGAAAGTTGGAAGACAAGATATCTTCAAAGGAATACAGTTAAAATGACCACTAAATTCTTAGGTTAAACAGTGGAACCAGAACTTAGGATATCTTCAAGATGCAAGAGGAAAGTCAGCTACAATGTAGGTGATGTAAAGACATTTTGAGACACACAAAAACAGCAAATATGCAAACTAGCATGCAGACTTAAAAGAAATACTAAAGGATTAAGGCACAAAGAAAATTACCCCAGATTGAGTTTGAAGATACAGGAAAAAATATAAAATAATAGGAAAAATAAGTGGGGCTAAATCTAAATGAAAATTGACTATATAAAACTATAAAAGCAAAATCATATATAAAAATAGCATATCAATCAGAGGTAAGTAAATAAAGTTAAAATGTTCCGATTGCCTTGAGTTGTTCTTCTTGGCAATATAAAAATAGTCACTTTATTATAAGTTGACGATGTATATTGAAATCTTTTATATCAAATAAATGGTAAGAGAGTATATAACTAACAAGCTAATTGAGTAGATAAAATATAATGAAATGATTTACTTAATCCAAAAGAAGAATAAACAGGAACCTTAGACAGAGACAGGTCTTCATCATTGATGGATAAGTATTATAACTGGGAAATTTAAAGGGATTAAGTACTTTTTTTTGAACAAAGTAGAACATATTTTGATTTAAAATAGTTACTGTTGTCAACTATATTAGTCCATTCTTTGTGGCCCTAACAATACCACAGGTTGGGTGATTTATAACAAAGTTTTTTGTTTGTTTGTTTGTTTGGTTTGGTTTTGTTGGCTAATTGAGGTCCAAGATTGAAGGGCCATATCTAGAGATGGCTTTTTCGCCATGGTGTTTTAAGGTGGTACAGGATATCACAAGGCAAGAGATTCTACCCTAATGACCTTAACTTATCCTAATAACTTCTCAAAGATCCTATCTCAAAATACCATAGTTGGATTATTTTCATTCTTTTAAAGTATTAAGTTGAGGATGATTTTTCAACTCAAGAAGCCTTATAAAAAGACACATATTTCCACAGTACAAACAGAAGTGATGTTGGTCAGAATATTCCCAGAGCTCAAGTGTAAATAGCTCCATACCACAGTAGACTCAAAGGAGCTGTTTCATCAAATAGTCACAAAAAAAAAAAAAAAAAAAAATCTAGCACAATCCTATAATGTTTGAAATCTGTTAAAAAATGGAGTTGAGGGCTATATGCTAGAAAGGAGGACTATGATAACTTTAATTTGGAATCTTCTAGATTTCCTATTTTGGTTATTTGGTATATTTTCTAAAAGATAGTATTATACTGTTTTAAGTTGCAGTAGTCAAGTCCACTTTTTTAATGCCAGTTGACTGGATGGATATATTGATGAATATTCTGAACAGAAAATAATGTTGTCAAATGAAAGTTACAAAAACTACAAGAGAAGTTAAGAGATTTAATGTAGTTAATGTAGACAATAAGTACTCAGAAAAAGAAACCTAATAGAGCACCTACAAAGAGATATGTAGGGGATACCCAACCCAGTGCAAGAGTTAATGGTTTAACCAACATTATCATTTAGTACTCAGGCTTAGGCATCTGATTTACTTCAGCAGTGAGCCTGTCCTAAGAAGGTGTATGCAAAGAAAACCAGAGCCTTGGCAGGGCAGGGGCAGGAGGGGGTTCAGATTGTTAAAAATGAGCTCTCTAGTTCACTAAATAATATTCAGCATGATTTTCAATTTTTATTTTATATGGAAGTTTTGTTCCTGTTGCCTTTATCCTCATGCTTTGAAAATGCTACAGGTTCATGACATAATTGTAGGGGAATTAAATCAAATAACTGCAAATTATATAATTATCATCAGGCAGTTACACAGCATCAACTATAATAGTAGTTATTTTGGACCTACTAACCTACTGTGGCTTGAGGATTAGCTAAAAAGGAAAGTTCTGAACTAAAATATCAACCAGAGTTCTATTTCTAGTAATATTGTGGGTTTAAATGCTTACAAATAAACTACTGAATAAAATAATAAAATTTTAATGCTTTACTGAGCTGAAAAGAAAAAAAAAAGAATTCTTCAAACCCAAAATCAAGTGAATTCAGAGGTAGGAAGAAGGAAAAAAGATAGCTCTGAAACCTGTAATCTCCAGAGTGTTCTCTCTTAAATCCTAATGGCATTTCACTTTTATTTTCACAGATGCCCAAGGTAAAGATAGGGGTAGGGCATAAATCC